GGCGCGCACTTTTTTCTGCCCCCCCCCCTCCCATCTCGTGCCCCGGCTTCCTGTGTCGTCGCCGGCCATCATCGGTTCTCCTTGCAATCGCGTTTCTTTTTATATCGTGCGAGATTATATATGCGCTTAAATAATCCGGCGACTATTTCGAAATTAAACAAAAATTGTCAATTTATATGTCACTATTCACTTGCTTAAGTAACTAACTTATGCATATGTTTATGTTAACTAACGTTTCGTTTTTTTATACACATACATATTAGAATTTAAAACTTGCCGAACAATCTCGTGCTCCTAATATCCAAACTTTTATATAATCTTTATATATTGCAGGAAATAACCCACCGAATTGGATATTATGAAATAATTTAAAACGATTTATAAAAGGTCTTGAAACATAGCGTGATCTCTTTTACTAATTTGCAAACTGGTGATAATTCTCTTGTTACAGATTTAAAGTCAAAATCTCTTTTATTATATCTCTATTTGTAAAAACACACGTATTTTTTATTTCTCTTTCACTCTATCTTTTTTTCTCATTCGGTTTTTCATTCGTACACATTTCTATTTGTTCGCTTACTCGCTTATTCATTCGCATAATAGTTGCTTTCCATTTACATCAAAATTCAGATAATTCTCACTTGTGACGTCATAACTCAGTTGAATGCACGTTCTTTTTGCATGCTGGCAAGTGAGATTCAACTGAGTTTTTATCCACAATCGAGACCATGTGCTTTAATAAATCTGATAGATTCACTGCTCACATTAAAAATGAGGCTATGAACCTGTATTATTATGCGATAGCTTTGTCACCAAAATAAGCAGGTAAATACAAAATGGCATATCTTACCTGAGTATAAAATACTCACATAACTGAGTGACTCAGCTCACTTGAGTGTAAATGGAAAGCAACTAATAAATTTTTATTATATAGTACCACAAATTCATAAGTACGAAAGAGTATATATGAGCTCATGAGATTATAATCTAAAAAAAAAAAAGAATGACGAGAGGCGAAGCAAAACTTTAATATCGATCGTTGCGAAGAATGCAAAATATTTAAATAAAAGCAAAGGTAAGCGCTTTCTTCTGACGTTATACGCGCTTAGAAGGGAGAAAAAATAAATTTTCACGACGAAGGCGAGGCATAATAAAAGGCACGGCGGAGGAGATAAATTCACATCGACGACATCGGCATCTCGCGAAATGGCGGCATCTCGGTATGGATAACCCGCTTGCGTGTGAATGCCGCAACCTTGTCGTTTTCAGTCGGCACTGTAAAATATCCTGAGAGAAATATACGTGTAAGGGAAAACGAATGGGCAGAACGGGGGATTGGAGGACGGAAGGGCGCGCGCCATAGATAGGAAGCCCTCTTACGAGCGGCTTATGTTTCAATTTGTTCGGTCGCGAATAAAATCGTGTTTTACGAGGCGTCAAAATGCCACAATCCACCGGCGTCCCTTGGGTGAGCAACCGTCTCTTCGCTAATCGACTTACTCCTGACATATTCGCGAATAGCAATCCTTGTTTCAGTTTCTCCGTAGAAGAGGTACATATATTTTTCCATGTGTAAAATTCTTTCTGTTTTTATGACAAAGAGAAATAATATAATTTTTGTTTGACATTGCATTTTTACTGAAATAAAGTAAAATTAAAGTGTTGATTGGAGGACAAGATTACATTGTCTATTTACGTCTTTTAATTGATCAAAACTCTTTAAATCTTAATATTTAATCATTATTACGACGATCAAGTATAATTAAGCTGAAAAAATGCCACAAATTATGCAGCATCGAGTGCGAGACGGTCGTATATAGCAATCGGAATCGAAAGAAACTGCGGTGCGTAGACGCGCAATCGTCGCCGAAAAATGTCGAAAGTCGTCCTCCAACGACGAAGACATCCGGCGATCGACACAAAATACTTCCGTTCCCCGATGCGGTACGTCTGGTCTCGTCGAATCTACCCTCCGTCGTATCCCGCTGCCGTTTCTTCTACCCTCTTCCCGGCTTGGATGCAGACATCACAAATCCTGAAGGAAACAGTCAGTCAGTCAGTCCGTCTGAAGAATCGTCGTGCTCTTTTCCCATTCGTATTTCTCCTCCACTTTTCCCTTTCTTTACGAGAGATAAAGAATCGATAGAAGCCTGGATTCAATGAGAGTCGGGAAGGAGGAGAGAAAGAGAGAGAGAGAGAGGAGGCGCAATGAAGACAGACGGACAGACGAGCTCGCACGAAGAAAGAAAAAGGGAGAAAGGAGGGAAGGAAGTGTATATAGCCGGTCGATTCTACATTTTGCAATTCCAATCCCTCGTGCCGCAACGCTGTATTGTCTCGATTGCGGCGAACGGTAGAAACGTTTCGTCGCGATCTATCCGTTTCATCGCTTTGACGTCGCCATCGAATTGCGATTAATCGCGCGCTGTTTGCGTTTTGCAGTTAATCGGTTGGCGTTTTGTGCGTGTGCGTGCGTGTGCGTGTTCCGACGAGCGAGCCTGTAACTCACAGACTTGTAATTGACGGGCTTGTAATCGAAAAGTTGAGGTATGAGGGCGTGTAACTATCGGAACTATCATATCGTGGAAATGAAGAGGAAAAGTTATCCACTAAAATGATTCGATAAGCGATAAACGTTCAATGTAATATTAGCGAATGTTGTAAAATACAATTAAGATGCTAGCCAAGCATCGTAACTATATCGATGTGAGACGGACATCGAGCTCTCAATTATATTTCTGGAGCGATTCTCGTTCGAAATAGAAAGTCATCTCTTTATTACTCATCTCACAAACCTCGAAAGATAAACTGCCAATTTCGCAAAAAAATGTTTCGTGAAAAAAAAAAAAAAGATTTATGCAGTTCGATTATTGTCGTACTTTTCCATGCATATTGCTTCATTATAGTTTCCTAAAATTACATCGCGGAAGCGCTATTAATCTTGCTGATGTATCTCGCAATATAATCCCACGTGCAAGACAGTCGTATCGGTAATTAGTGCCGATTCATTTGTCAAAGCAACGGACCGGATCGTTTTCGATTTAATTCCGATGGCGCTTTCGCAGAGTTCCAAGAAAATTGCTTCGATCCCTCGGAAGATTCTTAAACGGTGAGGGTTAAACCACCGTAGTGGTAAGCAATCGTAGCTGCTAGGCGCTTCATCAGCCAAATATATAAGGTTTTACATGCTTTGGGCTCAGCATTGAGACGTTTCGCAATTAAAAAACGATTATAATAAAATTTCGCTTGATCTGAATAGTATGGAAGTAGCAACTGAGGGAAAAATGTTTCGTATTTTCCACTGTAATTGCATAGTAAAATAATCGTGATTGAGGTTTTTAAAATAACTTTATATCATAACCTTATTCATAGATTTTTCGAATTATGATCATTTTCATCATATTTATAATAGTATATTTATAGACTTACTATGCATAAATCACAGAGGTTACAGAGTATAAAACCATGTATATGGTTGAATGAATGTATGTTAAAGCTATGACAACACAATAATAATGTAGTATTGAGTCAGCTATAATTTGCATTGTTAAAATAATTACAAAAATGCAGTTGGCACCGAAAATAATTAAAAATTATATTGAAACTGCTGCAACGATTTTTTTCTCTCAGTGTAGAATAACAGTGAACATATCATTGAAATAATCATTGCGAGACCAGGAAAATGTGTAACTGAAACGTTTGATCAGAAAATATACGCTTGCTTAGATTTTATGAATGTGCCTCGTACGATTTTTTACAATCGAGAGACAAGATCAGGATTGCGTCAGGTAAGAGCATAATTTAGCACGATTGTGCACGTATTTCATAGTCGCGAGTGTACGCGCGTGATTCCGAGTAGCATTAAAATAATCATTAACTAGGTCGGAAACACACAATGCTCGTCAGTTACAATTCGCGGAATTGTTCCGCGACGTGTCACGCGGCCGACCTCACGTCAAACGTTTACGAACCCACCGTTTTTCTTGTGCCCCAGGTTCGCACCGTTGGATCTGGGTTAGCTTATCTTGAATTAGCATATTTCCACTTTCTCGACTCGCAGGTTTTCCCCATGAGATTACGGAAGAAATAAGTGTTTTGCAAAGTAGGCATGAAAAGTATGAAAAGTAGTGGAACTATGCGCGAAACATCCCTGGCACTTATATTATCTACATTTTGCGCATCTCATTTGCGTTTTATACAATTGCAAGCAGCAATGCGCGTTGCGTTTTCCATTCGCGGAAAGTTTCCCGCGTAAAACGACCAATGGATAAAGTGAAGCGTGCTCTATTACGTCGGGATAATTGGAAAAGGCGGAAAGTGTCCAACAGTTGAAGTTTGAGAGAACATAAGAAAACCTGGGTCTCATTCCACGATCGTTGTACCATAAACGATTAATGATGAGAAACGAGAATCAACTTTCCAAAGGAGAGAATCGCTGCTCTTTTTGACCCGGGTTACCGACGCGATATCGATCGCCCGCTCGAACGGTAGAGAGGGACCAATTAAGGACACTATCCGTTTCCACAGCTGCGAGCTGAGATACTCCCGCGTTTACTTCATGAAATACTTCTTTAACCCTCGCACAGGCGCTGTGTCCCGGCGCCAAACACTTGTCGCTTCATGATTCAGGAGCGATCCGGAAGAAGGGAAAGAAGCGTCGGAAGAAGAGGCGACGCGGTGGCGTCGGTGGGAGAAGAAGAGGGAGTGGAACGCCGACGAGAGACTGAAGACAAAGAGGGAAGAGCGATGGTTCGCCGCGCGAAGAGAGATACGAGGGATGAAAGGAGCGAACGAGAGAGAGCGAGAGGGAAAGGGAAGAAGCGTATTCCGAAGTGTGGAATGAGACGGAGGGCGACGCGACCAGAGGGCGCGAGCAGGGGATGAGGAGGGATGAGGAAGGCGTCGGTGCATGCGCAAGAATTTCACACGTGAGCCCGCGAATCCGCGAGAGAGGTTCGCCTCGAGCGCGAGATTTCCTGCCGCTTCAGTGTCGTGCGCGATTCCGTACGCGGCGCTTGGCGAGGTGACAACTGTGCCGGGGAGCACGACTCGCGCCACGCACTCGCCGACAGATATCGGTGACAGATCGCACCGTGCGGCGATCGGGTACACTTCGGTTCGGGAAAATCGCGAGACTCCGCTCGCGGGTCTCTGGCCATGATCGAACCCGGCGATCGGTCTCGCGACAGGAAAGCGCGATCCAGCGACGATCGAGCGGAAGATCGAATTACGAACGAACGCGAGGAGCATCGAGGCGATTGATCGTGGAAAGCTCGATTAGCATACATATTAGATAGAAACGTCGCCCGGTATGCCTCGATAATCGTTTCGTACGGAACACCGCGGTCGGCGACTCGCGTCAAAATGACGCGGGTGTAATAGAAGCCGTTTGGCAACCGGGAGAGGATTAATCTTCGGGCCAGAACTAAAACCCCCGAGGTCCCACCGGTAGACAGGTGGCTTGTCAGTCAGTCCCGCCGCGAAATAGGAGCTCGTGCCGCGATAGAGCCACGCGATAGTAAATCACAAGGTGGCGGGATTTCGCGCGGCTGTCAGGCGGAAACGCCGCTCCGTTCCGCTTCGCTCCGCACCGACTGACAACACCCTCTTCAGCACGTCACGCGGCCGACGCGAGTTTTTACGAAACGCGCCAAGACGACGACGACGACGACTGCGCAAGGATTCGCAGCCGCGCTGCCACACCGCCGTTATCTTTACCGTCGTCATCATTTCCGAAACCATCGGAGTCAACCACTCCGCCGACTTATGCCCCGCGTAATTCTCGGTTGCCGTAAATAACGCCACGCACTTTGGCGAGTAACGGCTGGCGAGGCCGGGCCCTCGCGGTCCCCGGGTCGCGTGTACGTGTGTGCTACCACGGTGGAATCCCGCTCGTAATGACTCGTAATTGCGCGGAGGAGGAGTCGACGTCGTGCTGGAACGATTTAAGGGACACCTAGCAGCGCCACCCACACCCTCCGTTTATAATGATTAGGTGCACGCGACTACGGGGATTACCTGGTTGAGGTGGAGGACCCCGGTGTGAAGGTGCTCCGAGACGCGAGGGTGGACGGAGACGCGGAGAGGCTAATGTGAGAGGCTGAAATCTGAATACGACGGTGGTTTTGATCGCGACCCCCCGACAAACTTCGTCCCTGGTACCTCTCGACCAAACGATCCAAAAGGGGCCGATCGTTAGCACGCTCGGGCGCGGATCGTCGGACGTTTTCGACGGCACTACTCGATCGTTGGAAAGATTCAATTTGGAAGGTGAGGCCAATTTCGCGATTATCATCTATTTTCGTCCCCCTTTTTTCCCCTCCTTTCGCCCAAACGTGATTATCCCCCGCCTCTGTTCCACTTCCTTTTTTCCCCTCCTACACGTCTCGTTTGTTCCGACAGCCCGAAATCGATAGGATAATGGCGACACACTAGGGTAAATATGACGTCGGAATATATCTAAATGCGATGTCCTGATAAAACGCTTATGTAATCATTTAATATATTATTAACCGCTTGGTTTTTAATTTATTAAATTTCTCTCGGATAAAATAAAAATTCGCGACACCGAAAACTCACGAAATAATTACGAGCGTGTTTTATATATCGTCGCAAGATATCGAAGTGTCAGATTTATTCCAATATTATGGCTATCCTCTTTATTTCTGCTTTTTTACGAGTTCCAATTTTCATGCAGATAACGATATCGAACGACGATCTCTATGTTTGGATAAAAACGCGAGCGATCGATGTAACGTTTGCTTTTTGATAATTCAACTCGGGCGGAATTACTCCCGGCTTCGATCCGCACCGTTTCGGCCCCCGCCATTCTTTCGTCTGTCCCGCGTGTTCGTGCGGGATGCGGTCGCGCATCATTCCTCTTAATGTTCGCCGACGATCCGTAAATCCCGCTGAAAAACGCAGCACTCTCGGCTCCTCGCGTTTTCTTCTTCGTTCCGGTACTCGGCGCTCCATCTCCCCATCTCCCTCCCCCCCGCGAACTTTACCGACGTACGTGTGGCTCACTCGGGGGGTTTTCATCTCGACGGTCTAACGAGCTCGATTACGCTCATCGGATTTCATTCGCGGCGGCGGTGACGACGCTGGATCGTCGTCGCCGGTCGATCCCACCTTGGGCTAAAAGTAAGAGGGATAGAGGGGAAAAGGAGGACGCCGACGGTTTTCCGAGAGGAGATAATGAAATTTTTAAGAAACCAGCGGCACGGTGGGAACGTCCCTGGAAATTGTTAACTCGGAACGCGGACTCACGTACGCTGAAATTAAGTAATGAGATGCAATTTTCACTTCCGCTCTTCGACATTCCCTTTATTCATTACCCTTTGTCCGTTTATTTTAATCAGACGTAAAATAAACACGACTTTGTGCATTATTGATTGCGCGGGAGAGGTAATATTAAAATCACGATAATATTAAAATCTAAGCCGTTGCCAGCTGCCGATGAATACCGCGGCGTGGAAAAGCTTGGATTAATAAGAATCTTCCCCGGAGGAGTACATTCGACACGAAAGCCACGTTTTCAGCGTACTTCGCGGCTGCATTCATCCTCCAGCTGACGGGCTTCATTACCCTCATTGAATTTCGCTGAAAGTCGCTATCTCGCGCGAGTAGTCGAAATCCGCTCGACGAAATATATAAAAAAAAAACCCCCCGCGTTCCTTCTTGCGCGAGCCGCGGCGCATTTTAATCAAAATCGCTGCACTTGGACAAATAAGTTTTGCGCCTTCGAGCCTTCTATCAAGTAAAGGTAGGGAACATTGTTTTCGAAGAACAAACAAGTTACCCGCGTCTCGCTATAAAAATACACGTAGCGACTTTTACAATAGTTTAAGCGTACGGAATTACTACGAAATATATTACATTATATTGCTGGCGGAAAGGGAATTCACCCTGGCGCCATTACGAAGTTTGCCTCGATTTCGACGAATGTCCCCGCTTCCGAAGCTCGACGACCCTTGTAATGCGTCTGGCTTTTAGGGCGTAATGGACACGTCACCAACGTTAAGCATCGGCGGTTCGAGGGCCAGGGCGGCCCTTTTGACCACCAGCGGCACCGGAACCGGCAGCACCGACAGACGGGTCGTCTTTTTAGCAAGTCAACCCTCGGTCGGCAGCAGTCACGAGACCAAGACCTGGCCTCACCATTGGTCGCCGCACACGGTATGTAGTTCATCAGCGAAAGCCTTACAGCACGGTCAAGTGACTTATCGATAAGGGTTTCAAATTGACGCCTGAATTCTGGAAGATTAACGAAGGAATATACGCGCGACCTACATTCTCGTTCATTCTTTGAAGAGTTCACTCTTGAATTGTCGGCAATTAACTATTACCTCAACACATATATAATTTTTTATGTGGAGTGCATATTTTTAGTTTTTTTTTTAAACTATATTATTTAATCCGTTCGTAATATCTTTCTAGCAAAGTTTATAATAATATTATACTTTCCATATTTATAATTCATACGTTAAACGTTTCGATTTTCGCGAAGGTTTGTTTAATTCGCGCAAAATGGACTGACGATTTTTTAGCTTTTTAATCGCGCTATTCAATTTTGCACGCTTCAATTGTAATCTCGATGTCGTGTCGATGTCGGCGATGAGATTTGCCACTCTTTTGCCGTCGATATTCCCCGGTTACTGTTTGCCCCTTTTACGAGGTGCAATCGTTGGATGCAACAACAAGTAATGCGCTAATGAAGCAATCAGAGGACATACGGAGATTTAATTACAGTGGAAGTTCGCGTTGCGAGCTAGCCGCTACTGAAATTACTTCGCGTCGTGAATAACGGGGAATCGATTCGCGCGAGCTGTACGCGACTTTTACGACACGCGGAATTATGCCGCGACGCGCGTCGATACGGTGCAATCGAAATTAAAATGGCCTGGCCTATCGATGCCACGCTCCGGGACCGACATAAGCTTCGCATCATGCTGACGCACGGAAATACCTATGCCGCCGCGACGGGCATATTCGCACGGCGACAGGTGATGATTCTCGAAATAATTAATGCATGGAGATTGACGAAGCCGCGAAATAAATAGTATACGAAATCGAGCTGCCGATAATCAACCTGCCGTCCAGTCGAGACGGAATTCGACCCAAAATTAGTGAATTAATTAGGCAGGAGAAGAGAAAAGAAAATGTAGGTATAAAGATTTGGTTTGCGGGAAAAAATATCTCTTTCCAACTTTCTTTTCCAAGCAATCAATTCGCAGATTTAAATCGCAGTTTCATCGGCTTGTGAATGTAAAAAAAATCGATATCTACTCGAAATTAGTTCTACTGACTATGCAGGAGTATTACAAAATTTGAAAATAATAGAAACTGTGCCACGACTGGCATAGCCAGTATCAACCTATTTTACTCTACTGATGCTCTATCGTATTTCTTGGGACAGCAGATTTATGACCCGGGGAAAAAAACAGCCCTAACGAGAACGAGTTGAACTGAGTCAGATCGGCGCGAAAATGAATCGGCCAGATTTAATTCCGTTGCACTGAGCGCCATTGACCGTTATCACCCGTGTCGGCCGCGGCCTGACGACGATACGGGCTCGTTTTGGCATTGTGATTCTCCCTTTTGGTGGGAGACACGCGAGACTTGCTCTCTACCCCCCCCCCTTTCTTCCTCATTGCGCGGAGCGGGCAACGCACATTCGGAATTCAGAATTCCGCTCGTCACCCGCACGTATTCGCGGCTGCGTGCGCGTGCAATCCATATATGCGGGATATATGGCGGATTGTATGGGCCGGGGATGGGATACTGTAAAGGAGAAGGGACCGGGCGCGGATGAACGGGGCCCCGGAGGGCGTCGGGTGATATTTCGGAGGAGTTCGGTACACGCGGATAGCACCGGTTATTAATTTAACGGCGATGGATACAGGCTTGAGAGACTACCATTTTAGTACGACTCCGTGTACGGCCATTGGCACATATACCATACGTGAGTGCATATGCGTGAGCGTGATCCGGCGCGGATATTACTGAAACGACTTTCGGGTAATTTGCAGCGAATTTCTCTCTTCGGCTTCTCTTTCCGCGATACGTCAACACTCGGCTACCGCGAGCGGGCGGGCGTACTGAAAATAGCATTACGACTATCTTCCTAGTCGCTCGGCATTGGAGGTTTAAATATTTCATGACGTAGCTCGGACGACTCGAAACGATTTTCGATACGGGAGCTCCGTTACGACACCGTGATTAATTACGAGACGCGAGCCGCTATTGGCTCCGCGACTCCTGAAAATTTATATACCCACTAGAGTATAGACATATCTATCAGATTCGGCCGATCACTTCCCGGCATGCCTGGTGAGTCCAATCTTGGTTTTATTATCCATTACGTTTCAGTTTCACCGATGCTAATTAGCCAGCAGTAATTTGATTCCCGACTGAAGCTCGAACCTTCTCTCGTCCTTTGTTCTCTGTAATCCATATGAAAACGAATAGTTAACTGATTGGCTAAAATAAATAAAAATTTGCAAATATGAGAAATATATGCATTGGACATGCGTTATGCGCGAGAATGAATGGAATTGTGGGCACTCGAAAAGCGCGATCTGTCCGAACGTCCGTTCTGCAAGTGTTAACGAAGGATAAGAGGGCCGTGTGGAACCCCCTCCCTCCCGCTCGAGGTAAATGGCGCTTTGAGGGCGGCTGCGAGCTCTCCGGAGAGGTGGAAAAGTTCCGTCGGACGAATCCCGAACGCTCGCCGCTCGCCGTGGTTCCCAGATGGCAATTTGATATTCGCGGAAAATGCGGGGCTATACGGGCGCCAGGAAGGATCTCGTTACGCTTTTCACGATGTACGTCATCAGAGGTCAATCTTGGCCGTGCGTGTAGCTTTATGGAGCCTCTCCCCCGTTCTCCCCCCTCACCCCGTTTTCCCCACCGTTTTAACTCCGGGACCGCGCGCGCGGTTATAGGGCGCCGCATCGCCGGCAAAACCCCCCTGCTTAACCCCCCGGCGGGGGTTGGGGCATTTGCATAGTTATTCAGCCGCACCGGATGAAAGTCGTTACGGTCTTCGAGAATTTCACCGTCGAAATTATCGACCACCGGTGGCGATTGCGCCTTTCATTCGCGCCCCCGTGTTTCTGTGTCGCGGACGTAAAACGCGGTAAGTGGTCCGGGGCCATAAATCGACGGTTGATTCTAACCCTTTCAAATCCCGCCCGTGTCCGTATATTTATTAAGAGAGAAAGCTCCGGAGCTTTTATTCAGATACTTTTCATCCGGCGAAGATTTAATTTAAGAGTTTCAGGGGAAATTTTTAGATCTCGAATCCTACACTCGCGAGATCCGTACTTCATTATGCACAGGGATGAAATACAAGAATTCTCCCGTGGCTGTATATTTATTCGAGCCAATTTGCTTTTCATGTTTTAAATTATGTTAAATTATGACTCGCTCTTCTATTGATAATATTCGATTATTCGGAATAAATGTGGATTAACGGGGAATGAATGGATTACCCGTTCGGATTCGATCAATAATTCAAGCCAGAGCAAATTAAGAAGCACCCCCCCCCCTCGTTTCACGCATTAAGTCGGGAAACGTTAATGGCTCGTGCGTTGTCGCGGCGCCCGCCGGTTCTTCGTGGCGGTCGATAAATGGGCCAATCATACGTAATGGAGCTTAATTCGAGTGGTAATTCGGTAATTAGCGTTGAAATGCGCTCGGCGAAGAGCGCGATACCTTTTCGCGCGCAATTGCAGAAGGACGTAATCGATATGGGCCGTTTCGGCGCCGGCAATTGAGTATTATTTACCCCGTTACGTAAACACTTCCAAGGTAATCAAAGACAAATATTGTTTCCGCCGCGGTTAGCACCGCGGTGAAGCGTATCACGAAGTGAGATAGCCTCCTTCGCTAATTAGTAGTCTAACCGGCTAATTGTACGCGCAATTTATACCGGAGTTCCGCGTGCCGGAACTTCGGCACTATACTTTGAGAGACGACACCCCTTGTTCGCCGCGGGATTGTATTCGTCGCGTAATCTTCTTCGTCAGCTATCGAAAGCAAGCAAGGCTCGCTTGCTAGATAGAAATAAAAGTGATAATAATGATAACGATAACGTTGTAATATTGTTCGAATGTTGTAATGGCAATTTTCTAAAATAACGCAACTTTTTGGTAAAAGATAACAATTTTAAAATAATTTTTATTTTAAATGCAGACGCTAAATGTATATACGTTGTAATATTACTGCTGTAGAAGCTACATTATTCTTCTTGTTAACCGTCGCAGTAAGCGTCCCCCTCCCCCTCCCCCCGATCTCTCGCTCATAATCCGGAGAATTAGTCTCGCGTTATGACGGCGCTATTAGATCGACCGTTAAGCACCGTTCAACGACGTACTAACGTAGTTTCCCACGTTTCTACACAGCGCAGATTTACGCCCATCATCACGCGTCGCGATTTAAAGGAAGATTTAATAACACGCCGGCCCCGGCGCGTTCTCGTCGATCTTTGCCCGATCTCGGCATCTCATTTAATTTTCCAACCGATCGAAAATAATTTCCACTCCTCGAAAATAATTTCCTCCCTTCTCTTCCCTAACTTTTCCTCGTTTCCTCCTCTCCCCCTGCATCTACGGCGGTTGAAGGAGACGAGATACATCTTTTTTATCGCGAGCCGTCCGCGAAACGCGCCGATGAAAGTTCGAACAAAAATTTCGCGGTTTCCGGCCGGGCGCGCGGGCTCGGCCCGAAGTTTGCCCTGCACACTGCCGATTTCCCTGCCGCCGTAAATCAGGATTGCTCGATGACATTTTAGTGTGCGATGTTTTCTCCGACTCCCTCGATCTTTCTCTCTCCCTGTCTTCCCGTACCGCTGGGATTCCGTCCCTCGTATTCACCAATATTTTTTTCACCCTCGCCATCCCGCCGTCACTTTCTCGCTTACCGCGTACCTTCCGTCATTTTCTATATATCTTTTTCCTTCTCAGTCCATCTCTCATATCGGGGTCTGTCTCTCTCCGTTCCCTATATCTCTCCTTTTCTCTTTCGCCCAACAGAGACCCCGGAGACTTTTGCTCAAACTCCCCTTCGACGCCATTCGCACCTCCTATATTCACCCACGTCCATTCGTATTCCCGTGGCCTGCTATATCATGGCGTATCAACTGTTTTGTCAGTTTCCGGTACGAGCGCCGGATGAATGGGACTTCTTCTTGGTGCTTCTTCTACTACTTTGTGTGCCCGCGCCGTTGAAATTATCGGCCCGCCCCTGGCGGTCTCCCGTTGACGTATATAGCACCATCCCTGACGGGGGTGATATAAGAATAATAACACGGCTGCTCTCGTCATGCCGTATTTCGGATTTCGTAAAATGGTCGACGTTTATTTCATTGTTCCTTCTCTTTTGAACATCCATGAATATTTTGCATCAATCGTATTTCGTAAAACTTTGTTAACTCCTTGACTGCCACACGATTTTCCTCGAGTGATCCTAAAATACCTAAAACGAAAGATTCTCGAGAATTAATGAAAGTTCATGTAAAGGGATTTTTTGGTGCTCATGACGAATTTCATGTCAAAGTTAAAAAATGTTTTGTCATAAAAACGTTTAAACATTTTCTTTCAAATATGACTTCAAAGAAATCATGTTTAGCACACCCAAAAACTTCTAAATGTACCTTGTTTCTAGTCATTGATTCATTGTAAAACTTTAATGTGACAAAATATCTTATGACGAAAATATTCGAAAATTTCTATTTTTCTGACAGCTATATTTTTTTCAAGGCAACGTTTTGCAAATTGGATTAAAAAATCATGTTCAGCATACCCAAATCCCTCCAGTTACACTTTTCTTCTGTGATAAATATTTCACAGAAATCCTTATTAGGTCGGTAGACGACCTAATAAGGATTCAAAATAACGAGAACAAGTAAATTGAACTATAATAATTGTTAATTGACGATCCATGAAATTAATATGCTTTCCTGACGGTGTCTTATCTATCCAATAAACTGACGGATCATCTTCTTTCCTGTTCAAAACGCGAAATTAAATTCGTGCCCGGTGAAGAAAACACGCGAGCATATCGCGCGGTTAATTTGCCTTTTGAGAACAATGACGCTCGGGCAGCGACTTCTGGCCTTCTTTTCTATTCTTGTAGGATATCATGGATTATCGGGTACCTTCTTGCCGACTGACTGCCTGTCTTGGCACGAGCGGCGAATGTGCGCCTCTCAGCCATCGACTTGTAGACAATGTTAAGGCGACCGTGCCGTGTGGAAGTCCCGCGATCACGAAGGGCGTTGATGTATGGACGGCTATTTATTCGACTGCCGGCACGAACGAAATACCTTCCTGTCCTCCGTACAACGTCGCCTAAGTGGCGGGAGTGTACAAAGTTCGAGGCTGACGAGGAGACCGCGGGACAAGGGCGCTGAATTAGTGCCACTCGGCCGAGAGATTGATGATTTGCCAGATCGAGGCTGGTCTACGGGCCGCGAATGAAATCGGCATTCTCTGCGGCGATCGAATGTCGAGCGGATTGTCGAGGCTTTCAGAGCCGGAGCGGAGCGATTCGCAGCTATTTGATCGACGGCGGCGGCGTTGAGCTTTTCTAAGTTAGCGGCAAACGAAGGAAAAGCGCATTGCGGTTATAAAAATGCACTTAGCTTTATTATTCCTGTACATAAATCGATAAAAGGGAAAATCATAAAGGGAAACTTTGGCCGACTGTTTTTTAAAATTTTACCCGACATTACTGCGGAGTTCTGAATCCTAGCCTGAAGGCACGGAGAGCTCAAGATTCGCTCTGAATATTTCCGACGGTTACACGCCCTTGGGATTTTCCGCGGAGTCGTCGCGCGTTTTCGAAATTCATGACGGTGGAAGTCCGTGGAAACCTATTTTCGAAGTTCGAAGTCGTTCAAGAGATTCCCACAGATTATTTACGGAATAATTCAGGACGCCGTTGGAGATGGAATATAATTGAAAACGCTAAGCGCTATACTTTTTGAGCAAAAGAGACTTCGAAGAATCCTCTTTTGCGAAACTTAAAGTCCGCGCGCGCGTCTTCGCGGTTTTACATGTTAATTTTCGCCTCGAGCGCCTCGAGAACGATAATGTACCTCGATACACGAATTAATTCGGAAATGGTGGCTGGTTCGGAATGGCTGGTTCGCCGCTCGCGAAATTTCGCCGCTCGGATCGTCGACAAAAGCGACATTTCCTATCTCGCGCGTGTTCAAGCGCGACAGGTGGAGATGTGTGTGCGTGTGTGTGTGCGCGCGCGCGCGGTTAGACGAGAGAGAGGGGCACATTTCATTTACGTATTTATAAGAACGAGACACGCGTGTCGTCTCGTCTCGCCGCCCGTTCTCGGGAATGGGCTCCCTCCGAGGCTTCCTCATAGCCGCGTCTTGCCGCCGGAGGTACGTACCTCCGAGGGAAAACTCTCGAAATGGGATTCT